ATAAAATAGGTAAAATGTTAATGGAAAAAGTGTCTGAAACACTTAAAACAGAGTCTCCAGAAAAGCAAATGTTGCTGATTTTATATACAAAAAAGATAAATGCCGCTATTGTGACCATCTCCTTCGTCTTTTCGATGCAATAGCATGTTCCCGTATGAGCACTCGTCGTCATGAATACCAGGAGAAATCTACACGCTATTCTGATGGCTTAATTCCAATGGGGTTCATCCCGCCCCATTGGCCGTTATTGATCTTTTTGAGGCAGCTGTATTAAAGTGTGCCCTGGATGTTCTGTGCTATGTTTGTTGCTGTGGCTCTATAAAGGTACCATGCTTATGGTCATCCACACATTTTGAGAGTTTGTAGACTGAGCAAGGGGGTATACTATTAATATGTCATTTAGTGGTATGTCACCTATTAAAAAAAAAGTATGTAAATATGTAAATACTGTATGTTTTTTCTCCTGTATGTGCACCGTATAAATATTTGGGGGTTTTTTTTTGCAATTTTCCAACATTAACTTGTTTTTTTTTAAATAACAATAAAAATAAAATAATTAATTAAAAAATGCCCGCCAAAAGCTGTATCACTGATTAAATACACACGCATTCCTCCAGGCTCCAGTCGCTCAGCTTATTTAAATATGCTTTTATACACGACGTATTTACTTGTGATTGTTAAATATTTCTATGTGTATGTCATAGATATGTATAGAGTTCATATTGGGTACGGGGAACGTGATACACATTCACACATGGATACACAGTCTCATATTCAATATAGGTAAAAGAAAGCAAGTTATAAGTACTTGATGCACATTCATTAACCAACGGTGCAATGGATATCAAAGTAGTTCCGCTGGGAGCAGGCCAAGATGTAGGTCGCTCGTGTGTAATAGTCACACTCAACGGCCGGAATGTGATGTTTGATTGCGGCATGCACATGGGGTTCCAAGACAAGCGCCGCTTTCCGGACTTCAAATTTCTGTCTAATGTAAGTATTGTAGTATGATATATTGTAGTATGATATTTGTAGTATGATATATATTGTAGTATGATATTTGTAGTATGATATATATTGTAGTATTATATTTGTAGTATGATATATATTGTAGTATGATATATGTAGTATGATAGATCATTGATGTAACAAACAAATAGTATTCCTTCACTCTATAACCTCGATGACAGCACGACTTCTCATCAAGATAAGTAGTTGAGTATAGATACACAGTTTCGATGCAATAGCTTTAGTACTATGCACATATTCTGTGCTAAAGATCCAGGTCTATCATTTGGTCTAAAGTGTGAATTTGTGTGTCGTGATTATGCGGGCTACTGCTTCTACAAGCGTACTCAATATATGTATACTGAGTAAGTGTATTTCTTTCTATTCTGTATG